CCTGGAAAATGATTCAGGAGGCATGGGGACCCGTTACAAGACGCCTACAACACCCTACTCAGCCACAGTAACAATCGACCCTCACAACATTTTGCCGCCAGATTTCAGTGGTGCTTTCAGAGAATTACATGAAGAATTTGAAGGAGTTTTCAACCCACGTGTAACCAAGTACAACGGATCCAGTGGGCCTCTAGAAGCTGTGGTGAACATGGGTCCTACACTGCCCCCTCAGAGGAAAGGATGCTTACCCCACTACAACAGAGAGATGTTGAAAGAGCTTCAAAATAAATTTGATGAACTAGAGGACATGGACGTCTTTGCTACTCCAAAACAAAAGAACATTACTGAGGACTACTGAATCTCTCTTTTCTGGTTCGCAAGCCTGCAGGTGGACTTCGAATAGTAACCTCATTTGGCGAGGAAGGACAATATTGTAAGCCTCAGCCATCTCTCATGCCAAATGTGGACAATGTGTTGCGAGCCATTGGAAAATGGAAATACATCATCAAAACAGACTTGCTGAAGTCCTTCTGCCAAATTCCTTTGTCGCGGGCATCAATGACGTATTGTGGAGTAGGACACCATACAAAGGCATCCGAGAATACACCCGCTGTGCCATGGGTATGCCTGGATCTGAAACATACCTGTAGGAACTCATGTGTCGAAATTGGCAGATGATCTTTTCTGTGGTGGGGACAACCATGTCCAGGTCTTACACAACTGGCGCCACGTATTGTGCGCCTTAAGAGAAAACAATCTGAGACTTTCAGGCCCCAAACCTATCATCTGCCCCAAATCCACATCCATACTAGGTTGGATATGGTCCAACGGATCAGCCAGTAAACATCGCATCGCAGCACTGTCCTCTGTCTCACCACCACCGACAGTACAGGGGTTGCGCTGTTGGTGCCTATAAGGCACTCAGTCGTGACCTCCGTGGATCTCATCCAACTTTAGACAAGGCCGAGGCCGGAAAACAGTCTAAAGACAAGATTTTCTTGACTGATGATCTGTACTGTGTCGGACAACAAGACAATCACTATTCCGAGACCAAGTGATACTCTGTGCATCGTCACAGATGCATCATCAAAGAATCATGGCTTAGCGGGAACATTATATGCTTGTCGTGATACCAAACTGTTATTGGCCGGCTTCTTCAACACCAAACTGAAGACTCATCAAGTTGCATGGCTTCCTTGTGAGCTGGAGGCTCTTGCTATCGGATCATCTGTAAAACATTTTTCTCCATTCATCACTGCTTCAACTCAAAAGGCTCGAGTACTCACTGATAGCCGTCCTTGTGTGCAGGCTTACAACAAGCTCAACAGAGGTGAGTTTTCTCCAAGCTCTCGAGTCACGACATTTCTGGCAACAATCAGTCGGTACAACGTCTCTGTGAACCACATATATGGAACAATATCCCGACAGACTACTGTCGCCATCACCCGAGTTCATGCTCGGATCAGAGTTGCCAGATATGCAGATTCATCCAGGAGGATGCAGAATCAATTATTCGAAGTTTGAGTGTTAAGGATGTTGTAGAAGGTGGTGCTCGAATGCCTTTCACGAACCGACTCAACATGAATGTTCGGATCTCAGACGGACACACTCCCACCTTTATCAGGGAACTCGCCCCTCAAAGAATCACACCAATGTTCCGGATGTCAAGCGGTATCTAAGAGAAGTCTGCATTGCTTCGGATGGTTTGCTGGTAGTGCGTGCAAGTCAACCATTCCAGTCTGTGCGGAAGTCAACCATTCCAGTCTATTTGGGATGGTCTCCTAACAGCATTACACATCAGACTCAATCATCCATCAGCGTTTCAAACCAGACAACTGTTCAATCGTTACTTCTTCGCTTTGGACTTGGACAAATGCCTGAAAGCTGTTGACTCATCCTGTCATCACTGTATATCGTTGAGATCCGTGCCTAGCCAGTTCTACCCACAATCCAGCAGCCCCCCCGTCTGTGTCTGTAGGCACAGCGTTTGCAGCTGACGTTATGAAACGTTATCGTCAACTTGTGTTGACGGGTGAAACGGTGTCATCATTCACACTGACATGCTTTATCGACAGTGAAAGACGTGACCACCTGCACAATGCCATCATCTCACTCTGTGCTGGCATCAGACATCTTGGTGACTCTGGTACAACAATAAGAGTTGATCCGGCACCAGGCTTTGTTTCTCTCACCAATGACTCTATCTTGAAGACATATTCACTTGGAAATTGGTTCTCCAAAGAATGTCAACAAAAACACAGTCGCAGAACGTGCCATTGAGGAACTTGGCATGGAATGCTTACATCTGTGTCCAGATGGTGGTCCTTTGTCTTCAGTTAACCTTGCCTTGGCCACTGGCAATATGAATTCAAGAATCCGAAGGGGTGGATTGTCATCCCGAGAAGTGTTCACACAACGTTATCAATTAACTGGAGAACAGTTACCCATCACAGAAAGGCAGTTCATCCTACAACAGAATCTCGCCAGAACATTGAACCACCCACATAGCAGTAAATCTAAAGCTCGTGGGAACACCCATCTGGATGGTACTACATTTCAAGTTGGTGACCTGGTCTTTCTCAAAAGAGAGAGACAAAAGACACATGTCAGGGACAAGTATTTGGTCACTGGAGTTTCAGAAGACAAATGCCAGCTCAGGAAGTTCGTTAGGTCACAGTTTCGTTCCAAGCTGTACACTGTTCGGCCATCAGATTGCTACCATGTGAAACCTACCACTATATCGACCACTGGACCCGTCACTGGAGAAGACTCTCAGCCTCTACCTAACCTACCAACACTAAACAGTGACATTGATTCAAACTGTCATAATGATGAACCCTGTCACACCAGATGAACCATCAATTGCAGTTGAGCCTACTCAACAACCTGACAACATTGCCCCGGATAGCGATACGCCCCTCAGGGTGTCATCCCGTCCTCGCAGAGCCCCAGCACGGCAGACCTCTGGAGACTGGATCATGAACTGAACTCAATCTCATTATTGTTTGAATTTGTGTAGCATACATCTTACCATTTATCTTTTCAGTGGCTATTTTCTCAATCGTAGAAGAAGAAAAAGTGGTTGCGCCATTATATGAGTTTCTTTTCATTTGCTGTTTTTGAATTTTGCTTTTGTATGTATTACACAGTTGTTCCGGTTTATGGTTTCCGATGCGACTTCATGGAGTATTAAACGTACATGGAAGAGAAAGGGATCTTGTCCTCATTGGCGCTAGTTTTCATTCACCTATTGAAGGCGTAAAAATTTTACTTGACATCCATAAATTAAGAAAGCCTTTTAGGGCCATGCGGGTTCTCTTTTTTTATATTTTCTTGAAACTAAGTTGAAATTTCAAGATGCTAAGTTGAAATTCCAAGATACAACGTACATATTACATTGAAATTTTAAGAAACACATTAAGTTGAAATTTCAAGATCGTTATTAAACCCTAATATTTCAGCTTATCTTGAAATTTCAAGGAAAATAACGAATGACCCAAAAATTCTTCTCAATGAAATGTCCCCTACCACTTTAAAGTGAACATGAACCCTTCCTTCCATTTTTAAGTAGATGTGGTTCACAGCTGAAGATGTCAATCGAACGTCCCAAACTGTAATCTGCCCTAAAAGGCGTCCATTGGATGGTGGCACCAGTCGCTTGACCTCTACACGCGGCCTGGCCTAATGCTCAGGGCGTTCGCTTGTCACACTGACGGTCTGGTTAGCAGCATGGGTAGAGCTCATAAAGCGCTCTTCTGGTTTACCTCTGCAGTCACATGGCTGTAATGTTGCAAGATTTAGTGACTGGTGATTCACTCTCACTCCGAAACCTTCCCAGTTACCTTATCCGAAATTCAAACTTCAAAGCCAATGTAAACAGCAGATCACCTTTTCACTCTTTTCTTGTCAGAGACATAGGAAAAATGTATAAGCTGTTTTATTATCCATGTGTTAAAATAGGTGATGACATATTCTCCATACGTAGTACACGTGTAATAAAAACCCTAGAGACCATTTCATTGGCCGGCTGAGACAATCACGTGACATCGGAATGCCGGACTACTTTATTCATTCATAACTTTTTACGACGGGTACGATGTTTACTACAACTTCAGTTACTCTCGTGTCCTCCGTCTAACACATTTATCAACACTGCTAAACACTAGATTTCAGTAAAATAAATAACACATATCACCTTTTACAAGAGTTTGTCACGTTTTACATGTATTTGTCACAATTTGACTGTTTTAAATTGGCGCTAGATTTTTACTGTCACCACAGTTCCTGTCAGTGCGCAGCGACCTTGATCTTGCCGTATTTGTAGTCATACGTTTTAAGGCTGTATTTAGATCGCCTTCAACATTGGAACTGCCGGTAAAACACCGTTATTTGTAATTCTACCATGACATTTAAGTATGTTCGTTTTTGATTGGCTGTTACTAAAGAATTAGAAGTGAAACATTTTCAATAACCACTTCTGAGAGCCGGTTCACTGCGCGTAGTGTCCAAACACTACGCAAGGGTAATGAGTGCATATTTAAAACGTGTTTTATTCATGGTGCATATGTCATGGTAGAATGAAATAATCCTATTGTGTTTACATTCTGGAAGTGATTATAGTTGGTTGAACGCTGCTAAATGTTTCATAGGATTGTCTCCTCATTAAGCCTTCTGAAGAGAAGGGGATAAGAAAGAAATTAACATACTCGCGTAGATGTCATATTGTATTTACAACACTCGCACTTGCTCTCGCTCGGGGGAATATCATTTTGCAGTCACTTGTGTTGTAAATACAACATGACATCTACGCTCGGGTATTAATCTCTATGTCCCATAGGGATAAACTAATTTCACACTGATTGCACGAGTAACACTGCTTTGACCAGTATTTGGCACGGAATGTCAGATTGTAGGAGGACAATGTGGAAAAGATGCACATCTACGGACAACAAATTCAACATACATTCAGATTTCACCTTGATAAATAAATATATATGGAATTGATTATGCGTCTCTTTTATTGGGTGGTGCAGTATCATATCCAAATGTTTCAAAATCGTTTGAAAATAGCTCAGTAATTTGTTTGATAAGTGTCAAAGGAACAGTTTTGTAGGCTCCGATTATTGCCTCTTTCCTCTGATGTTTCCATGCCCTCCTTCCCTCGGCAGGAGTTCCACGATATACTTCTAAAACATAGGTCTTAAATATATCTCTATCTAAAAATGTATTTGACATTTTTGTGACAACGCTCTCGGCGGTTTCGTCGATAGGGAGGTAGCCATTCAGTTGAAACACTTGCCATAATCTTCTGGCTATATCTGCTCTTGACGTGCAGTCCCTGTAGAACCGACTTTTTGCAATTAAAGCAAAGTTATAATCTATAAGCATACTAACTTCTTCTTCAATATGTGTATCCTGGTCAAAGGTATTCATAATCCACTCCTCTCCAATTCCTCGCAAGATATACCTGGAATCATCACCAAAAGTCTCTTGTTTCCCGATGACGTCTGGCTTGAATTGGCACGGATCACATTTGTATTGAATGGGCTGCCAATGCTCATTCATATTTTCTGGTAAAAGAGACACTACATATTCAAGGAACTCACTGAAACTGACATCATTGCCACACTTCCTTGCTTCAATTGTTGGGTCATACCGCTGTCTTGTAATATGCAAGGCAAAACTCCTCCAAAAGTCGGGAAGAAAAAATTTATCAAGGTATGCAGACCACAGCCGAGAATAAGGATCGCGGGCAAACATGAATCTGGTGTAATTACCAAAGATCGTCTTCTTGGTATCTTCATCCAGGGGTGAAATTTGTGTCTTGTTTTTCTTTCCATAGTGAACGAATGCGCGAGGGATCTCAAAGGGAGTCTTTACAGAAAAGGTTCCGGTGTCATTATGTAAAAAGACAAACACTCTCTTCCAGAAAGTGCTGCCTATCTTAGCTACAGGACAATAGGCAATATGTAATTTGTCATGGCGATATATTTTGGCCACAGATCCTTTGTTAGAATGTCGGCATTCACTCTTTACATACTGGAGTCTTTCTTTGTAAATTTGATCCACAGACATTTTGACCACTCTTGATTCTTGAAAGTCTTTGGGAAGAGCCGGTTCTTGTCCTGAAGAACAATAAACAAATAAACAGACAAAAACAAATGACCATTTCCTAAAACTAGTAGAATATATATCACTTTGCTTCCATGATATCCTGGGGAAAACATGTGGAGCTTTTTCGTTTGGTTCCTTTCTAAAAGAGAACTGCATCTCCAAATTGCTAAAATCTTCTGTGTCTTTAACAAAAATCACAGACCCGTGAAGATCCGGGTTAGATTTGATCTTCAGTAACCCATGTTTGTCGTAAGAGGCAACAAACGGGATCTGGTGATCGGGCCGCTGACTTTGTTGACACATGTCACCGTATCCAAATTGCGTAGATCGATGCTCATGCTTTTGATCACTGGATTGTCTGGTCCAGAGTCAATTATTTACAGACCGCTGCCATATAGATGGAATACTGCTGAGTGCGGCGTAAAACTAAACTCACTCACTCACTCAAAAATCACAATCCCTTGTACCTGGGCAAATTAGGAGGCAATCGTTCAAAAGGTCATGTAAGCAATTTAACAAGCATGGTACTAAAGTTATATTGGCTTACATATCCATAACAATGACACAGTCATTTGAAACTCGAAGATGACCGCCATGAATACCATCATATTGTATGAACCTCATATAAACTGATACTAGTATCCGAAAGCTATAAACGTGGTATTATCTTCATCCGGGCTCTGATTTTGCAGTGAACTTTTCTCTACCGCTAATCGTCTTTACAAAGCATCCCATGGTTTTGCAAGCGTTTCATCCAGAAATCACTAGACGTATGAAACACGCTAATATTTTAATGACATCACCATCAATCTGCATGTGCTGTATTTTAAATTTGATTCATAGGTTAGTTTGTTCATATTCAGCTGTATTAAGCTCTGCAGCGGATAACTTTGGCATTTTCGCGTCATTATATTTTGCACTCATATTTGTTAGTTCACGTGAATTGGACGCCAACAGGCATAACCGTCCTCGGTCAATATTGCTTTTCGCGGGTCCATAAAAACAGGTATTGACCTCATCACCAGTCTATAATTGTATATTGTCTCACATTCTAGCACGACATTGTGTGAAACTCGATTCTGATTGGCTGAGAGCTCATCAAAACCGTACTTAAATGGCAGTTTAAGGTCCGCTTGTTAAAGTGACCGATTCACTGCGTATGAATACAACGAACTCGTTGACCCTATTGTTTGTAAACAAACATGTCGGACATCGGCAATTTCTACCTCGGCAGCATCTTTGGTAGTTTTGAAGTAAAAAGTGAATGGTTTGAAGAAGAATTTCTTGATCCTTATCCCAGTGAAGAAACTCGGAAGCAGACAAATTCGTCAGCAGTGCAAAAGCGGCAGTATATTCAAACTGGGTCTAGATCTCGCGGGCATGACGTCGACAACACACGTCGGCCCACACGTCTTAACCTGACCGCTTCCGTCCCGGCCGTAATGCCCAGTCCTTCCACTTCCACTGTCCATGTATCCCCCATAAAACGTGGCATGTCAGGTATTTTCCAAATTGGGAATAGTAGGGTGGTTATCAACAATTATTTCCGTGAATAAAGTTAGCGGCGACTAAACTTAGCGAGTTCACCGCTTGAATTGGGGCGAGTCTATTGTCATACAGTAGGGGAGATCAATAATTCGCTTGAGAAAAATCAAATAATTGCTCACGCGTTCGGTTTTTAAATTACATTCAGCGGTCTTAACTCAACGATAAAGGACCGCAAAATTGAAAACAGAGTAGCTTTATCTTCTAAATATAGACGTTAAGCGTAAGTCACATTATTGTTGGAAACACTATGGTAACCGTTCAGGTATTTTCTCACATTATAGATATTAGCATATGTCATATTACTGTTGGCAAACGTATGGTTATTGTTCAACTATATCCTCACACTAACATCAAAAAAGAAAAATATTCACATTGAAACCAACAGCATAAGTTACATAATTGTCAGCAAAACGTACAGTACGTTCATCTACTGTCTTACATCAACGCCAACAAAACAAGTCTCATTATTGTTGGCATATTCACACAACAGCCATTTAGCATGTCACATTATTGTTGGTAAAACGAACGGTTACCGTTGGCTATTGCCTCACACTAACGCAATCAAGCAAAAGTCACATTATTGTCGGTAAAACGAACGGTTACCGTTAGCTATTGCCTCACTATAACGCAATCAAGCAAAAGTCACATTATTGTCGGTAAAACGAACGTTACCGTTAGCTATTGCCTCACAAAAACGCAATCAAGCAAAAGTCACATTATTGTTGGTAAAACGAACGTTACCGTTAGCTATTGCCTCACACTAACGCAATCAAGCAAAAGTCACATTATTGTTGGTAAAACGTTCGGTTACCGTTAGCTATTGCCTCACACTAATGCAATCAAGTGAAAGTCTCATTATTGTTGGCATATCTACGGCAACAGTTCAGGTACTGTCTCACATTTTAGCCAACAACGTAATCCATAGTATTGTAGGCAAAACCTACGGCAACAATTCAGCTGTCGCACCTAAAAGTTCAAAACTTGATGGACAACCTGACCAGTGTGAAAATATCCAGCCCAACTGTCTTGACACGGCGCCAGAAATGGTCTTGTGGACTCGGAATTGTACATCTCTAACACACTGTTAATAATAATGATAATAATAATGTGTCCATTTATATAGCGCCAAATTCCACGCAGATGTGCTCATAGCGCTTACAATGAATAGCACAGCACATTATTACTCGTGATAACCCAAGCTGCCTATTAGGCGCTAGAAGGTCATACTTACATGACTTATCCCATCGGGTACCCATTTTCTGCTTGGTGAACAGAGGCAATGTTTTAAAAAACTCACTTGCCTCAGATGAGACCACATGCATCACACGTATCACACGTACCCATGTTGGGATTCAACCCAGTACGCCCCCATCATTGGGATATCCTCCCGTCCCGCTAAAAGGGTACACTGTACGATTCCGACTTGATCATAAGCACGGTAATATACTTCACTATCAAATAGTGAAAATACCAGTTTGCAAAATTCATAACGCCGATCACAAACGCATGAAATAGCAGAGCAATTGTTGATCTGAAAAACACGGGAACAAGAAAAAACTGAGGACCATTCCCTTATACTTACTGGCTTGATGAACTTGGAGGAAGACGGATGTAACGTTGAATCCTGCCACCATGAGAACCAGCAAGACAATGACGGCGTAATACTTCTTTACCTCCTTCCGCCATAACCCGAAGAGCAGGGACACGAACCTCATGCTGAAACAGTACTCATCCATTATGACCAATGCTTGTAGTAGAAGACGATTTAATGGACAGTGGTCACGCTCAGTGACCGGGTGATTGCTTGCAATCGTTTCCAAGTAATTGAATCCATTCACATGATGACAATCACTGCCCTGTCTAGTCTTAATTATTTACAGACCGGTTGGGTTCGGGGTTAAACAGGTTGTTTGGTTTGTTCAAGCTTTTCTCTTATGGATGCCCAGTCATCAGTTTATGAAACATTATCCCCGTAATCCTGCGATAAGCCTTGTTAATATTGTCCAGATTGTATAAATCACGCACCTTGTCCTGGAATAAACATTAGAAGACGGAACCGAGCCATTAGTTCCTTCTCTGAATACCTTTACCTTTCAAATGTCAATATGTGATTACAACGAATCTCTTTATGTTTTGCACACGTGAGAACTGGTTGGACTGGGTCCCAAAGGGCCGATGCGTGGACGACGCAAAGCGACACATACACCACTATTGATCACAGGTGTCAATCCGTTACCGTATAACATTTGGATATTATAGATGTACTTTAGAACTAATCCATACACATACAGCTGACACTGAATAAAAAAATAAAATAATAATAAACTTCGGGCCGAGTAGAAAGCACGCTTAAAGAAAATCTGGAGCTCAGGAAATGTCTCGCTTGCATCCCAAGTATACTCTCGTCAGGCTCACCATTGTTCTCGGTGCCCTTGGTTTGGTACCTCCTGATGTTTTGGTGCAGATCAGGTGAGTGCCCGAGCTCTCCACCGGGAGCACAGCCCTTCTGACACTCTGGGTAATGCAGAACTGCAGTGTTGCGGAGTCTACATAATTATTCTCCCGAAAGTTCTTGGTGGTATCGACTAGGCAGCGTTTCCTGGGTGAAGCCCCATTCGTTGTCTTGGCAAGGGCCCTGAGCTGATGATCAGCCTTACTGAATGTGCCAGAATCACCCGAACCCCCTCTGCTGCATTTTTCATCTTACTCCGTAAAACATAATAATGGCTATATATACAGCGTCTGTTTCCACGCATTTGTGCATGCTCAAGGTGCTAACACATTATTACCCCGAATAACCCAAGCTGTCTGTGAGGCGCTAGAAAAGGCTACCAGTCATATAACTTAACCTACCGGGTACCCATTCACTGCTGAGAGATACCAAGTTTAACTCAAATTAATACTGTTATGCGAAACGAACAAAACCATGGCTTCCACAACCCACAAACTGGTGCCACGAATAAGCTACTTACTTCCCATCAACCGTAGCTGAAAGAGGTGAGTTAATGAGCATTGTCATATCAGATTAGTTCGTGCATTGTCACATCGCACCAGACAGCTAGGGCAATACTGGAAAAGACACTAGTTTGTCTGGTCGACATGTATATATTACAAAGCTAGTGCGGCGAAAACCATCAAACAAAACTGATCGGTCATGTGATTCACGAGTTGTCCTATGAATCATTTATAACGAGATATATCTGGTTATCGGCTACTTTTGCGCGCCAACTTGCGATATACGAGACGGGGCCCTGCTTACTTCCGGTACCAGATTTCCGGTGACAAGCGTATATTCAAGAACCAGTTCTGGTACCAAATTGCGCGACCGCCAAATAAGACTTCATTAAACTGACCAAGTGTACGTTGTTTGTCACCGGAAGTACTAAGGTCTCGCGAAGTGCCGTGACCTACTTACGGGACCTATAGTGTTAAACGGACAAACCGCAGTTCAAACTGCGCAGTGAACACAACATCATGTCTTCAATCGTATTTGATTGATTTAATATCATAGTTCAACAAGCTGGCAAACAACGTGGCATTTGAGTAGTACGATATGTCACAAATCATTGTAACCCACAAATGTTATTATTTCCACACTGACATCAATATCGTCCGTCGTTATCGGATATTACACCAGTGTGAGTCTAACATTTATCACGTCTTTAGGACAAAAACTGGGAGGGCACAACATTCGGACCGTGCCTTTGATGCTTCTATTTACACATACAACCATTATTGTAGAGGTTTGTATTTAGTGAAGCTTGATATTGCTTGTTTATCAGACTAATTTTCCCACACCTTTGGCAGGTCGTCGAAACTTATAAATAATTAGACGAGAGTTATTTTTGGTTTTGATTTGTCAATAAATATAAAGAAAACATTACAATTCTATCGATTTGACTTTTTTGTGAAATGTGACTGAAATGGGATTGTTGAAGCACACTCTGTTGGCTGTCGTGGTGCTGTAATATATTCACATATGAAAAGTAAACGCCAGAGAATAACCAGTCTCGGTTGTCTTACGAAACTGTTTCCCCTCGATGTTCTTTAACTCATGGGCACTGACATACACAATTTGGACAATATGGCATGTGATCACCGTTAGTCGCATCTTACGACTGTTTGCTGAAGATCAATTCTAACCCGGATCTTCACGGGTGTAGCGTTAATGAAAACAGCCGTGGATAATTTTATCAAGGTGTTCGGGATAAGGGGCAAGTATGGCTGGCAGGGCGGAATGTGTCATTTCTTACCATAAATACAATTATTAGGCTCGACGGTAACATAGGTTTGTTTTATTTTTTCAATATCCATTTTAGGGTCGATGGTTTCATACACCAAGTAATGGAAAATAGGACGTAATATGAATCTGCTTAATATGCTAGAATACTGTTTTATCACCCTAATTTGTCTACGAGTGAAGATCCGGGTTAGAATTGATCTTCAGCAGCCCATACCTGTAAGAGGCGACTAACGGGATCGGGTGGTCAGACTCGCTGACTTGGTTGACACATGTCATTGTATCCCAATTGCGTAGGTCGATGCTCATGCTGTTGGTTACTGGATTGTCTGGTCCAGAGTCGATTATTTATAGACCGCCGCCATATAGCTGGAATATTGCTGAGTGTGGCGTAAAACTAAACTCACTCACTCCGATTTTGCCTCTTGCGTAGAATGGAATCGGTTTCATCGGAGAGTTGATATTGTATATTTATGAACCACAATCCACAACTAATGATACTACCAGGCGTAACAGATGTAAAAGAACGTATTATTCTTTGTTAAAATTACTGCCGAAATATGAAATATGTGTATGACAGGTAACTTGAAGCACTACGTACTTGGCGTATGATAAACATGAAGAAAATATCTGAAACATTCTAGACAATATCTGACAATGAAATATGGACCTCCACTGTAACTAATCTGTTTTGTTCACCATCAGTATCAGCATCCACAGGATCCGCGACAATGTGTGAGACGTTGATTGGAAAGGAGGAAAGAAAGTCACAGGAAAAAAGTCACGGGAAAAAAATCACAGGAAAAAAGTCACAATAAAATAATATATATTAGTGGGTTGTAAAATTGCCAAAAAGGCTATTTAACTGTTTCTTAATTAAATCAATTAGTATATTACTTTGATCATGCTTTGTGAATATAGAAGGTGAGGTGAGGGGAAATTGGGTTTAACGTCGTGCTTGAGAATATTTCGCTCATATGACGACGTGCATGCGTGTGTATGTGTATGTGCGGGTGCTTGTACTTGCCCAGACTTAAGCTGGTTTTATAGTGCTAGCCCACTGAGATACCATGCCGCAGTGAAGCATGAATACCCCACTCAGACACATTATACTGACTCCGAGCCGACCAGTCCTTGTTGTACCCATTAATGCCGAGCGCCAGGCAGGGACCAACAAGTACCATATTTTAACGTCTTTTGGTATGACGCGGTCTGGGATCGAACCCGCGACCTTCCGCTCTCCGGGCGGACGCTCTAACCACAACACCACGGAGGCGGTCTGTGAATATAGAAGTTACTGGGTGGTTTCTCAAATGGTATAAAAGCAGTGTGACCACAATTTGCTATAATCATTTTATGTGATGATTGTATGTTTATTTACCTCATAAGAAGACGCGAGACTTGGCTTCTGATTCTGACTGAGTGTCAGAGCGAGAACACCGTGTTCTGTTAATAAAGTGGTGGTCTTTCAAATGTTTTCAAAACACTATGACCATGTTACTTTTTATCTTCTTGAGTTATTAGCGACATGGGAATTGTTTTCTGATTTGGGTGGGTGAAACATTCCACTTAACAAAGAATTTGGATTGATTTCTGAAATTTATTAGAACTGTGGGGACTATATCAATATCCATTTTCTGATTAATTTTATTCCCAGCCATAATTGTGACATAACATCGTATGGTATGGATTTGCAACTTCTTTATTGTTTACAACACGACGATGTCCGCCGTCTGTCCGCATGTCTGTCCGTCAAAATACTGTATAGCCATTTTCTCCGGAACTATAAAACGTACAGACTTTGAATTTTGCATACATGATACCCTCAACTGTGCCTAATGATGCTGTAAAAATCAAGTTATTTGGATTTCAACTTTTGTTGCTATGGAAACCTTGATAAACGAAAAACTTCAATCCAAGATGGCGGCCAAACGGCTAAAGATATCGAATTTTGACCCCCACCCAAAAATGATCGGCATCTCATGACCAAGTCACATACCAAATATGGAAGCTGTTGGGTCAATAGTAGTGGAGCTAGATGCTGTTTTATGCCGCCTTGGCTACTTCTTGCCCCTTCATCACCCTGAATGACAGAATATTATTTACAAGCAAAAATATACAGTGCGAACTGAAGGAATGGAAGTGAGATGGAATTAACTGTGACTTTTTTCCGTGACCTTTTTTCCTGTGACTTTCTTTCCGATCCCCGTTGATTGACAAGGTTAAGTTACAGTTAACGGGAGCAGACATCGTGACCTTGGTGAATAACGGTAAATCATCACATGACCTGCCATATGACGCCGGCCTTGATTTAACCCGTTATATCCGTCGCAAGTGACTTTATTGGCAGATAAACAACGTCAACAAAAGAAGAAATAAACAGATCAACAAAAGCTATCATAAACAGTGATTGAGTCAGCAGAATAGCACGTAGTAGAAGGACATAAATTATTCAGATTTTCACTAAAGATGATAGTTGTTGTCACGCCTTTCTAGTGAGTGGGTTTAGTTTTACGCCGCTTTTAGTAATGCTCCAGCAATAATCACGGCGGAGGACACCAGAAATGGGCTTCACACATTGTACCTGTGTGGGGAATCGAACCCGTATCTTAGGCATGACGAGCGAACGTTTGAACCACTAGGCTACCCTACCACCCTTGAGAGAGGAGAGCACGACATATTTCGTGTTGTAGAGGTTACCATTTGGTGAAACACCAAAATGTGCTTAACGATTATACCCATTAATCTATTTGGAGATCGGGTGGTGGGGTAGCCTAGTGGTTAAAGCGTTCGCTCGTCACACTGAAGACCCGGGTTCGATTCCCCACATGGGCACATTGTGTGAAGCCCATTTCTGGTGTCCCCCGCCGTGATATTGCTAGAATATTGCTAAAAGCGGCGTAAAACATTACTCACTCACTAACTCACTCACTCAAGTGTACATATTTGTAATATATTTACCACATAATGAATATTTCGCTTTGATCGTTTTGTTTGTTTTTAGGGTGTTGGGCAACGGGTTAAATTTTATTGTTGTATAAGGCCGAACTCAGTCTGTAGGGATCAGACAAACCCGTGATTGACATCATGAGCACCGATCTCCGTAAATGGAAAGCGATGATCTGCATCAACTAGTTAACCAAGCCTACCACGATTCTTGTTGTTTTACGACTAGCATGCATAACTAACCCGGAGATCAATACTCAATCAATATCATGGCGCACGTGTGTTGAGAAGGGACAAGGTCACCACACATTGTACTCATTTGGGGAATCGAATGCATGGTAAACGGTGCCCCCTGCCTCACTGGCAGTGAAATCCGTTACACTTGATAACAGGAAGTCGTAAATGAGTGAGTGAATTTAGTTTTACGCCGTTTTTAGCACTATTCTAGCAATTTCACGGCGGGGGGCTCCAGAAATGGGCTTCACACATTGTACCCATGTGGGGAATCGAACCCGCATGTTCGGCGTGACGAGCGAACGCTTTAACCACTAGGCGACCTCACCGCCCTGCAAGTCGTAAAGATAAATCGACACATACGCAGAAATCACGTTACTATGACATGCGGCGCGATCATTAAGCTTGGGTTATGTGCACACATTCGTGTATAATAATAACGTAAATAAACGCATAAGTGTAAACTCGAGTAATTTTTGGTGACGTGGATGACTGCACTCTCTGGCCAGAACACACTGAAGGTCACACAACGGTCACGAACTGACCAGTACACAACGTACATATAGCGGTACCATGTCTACGGGTCAACGATAAATGACAATCATTAATATACATGGGAGTTTGATGGGACAACGCATGTCAAGTGGTCTGGATATTGATAACAGTTTAATGTCAGCAAACATAGCCCTATTTAAACGGTGACTTCATCATAGCAACAACATTTCACCGGATTTCAGTTTTTAATGCAACCGATTCGTTTTTTACCTAACCCATTCAGTTTACGCCATTGACTATATAAACATTTTAAACCATTTTAAACATGTTTCTAATTTCTACAAACTCAAACAAAGAACCTCTCAAATATTTGGAAAGAAACGAAAATATACAGTGATATGTTCGAAGAAAATGCAAATCGTAAATGCATAAATCAAATTATGGCGAAAGAACGTTCAGTTATACGCAAAAGTATTTGGTCTACCTTGTCCACCAGCGAGATTAATTCCCCATAGAATTCAATGCAGCAGATGTTAGCTTCCAACATCAGCAACTCTCGACTGAATGTATGGTGTATGGATTATCAATACTTTCCGTGTCTGTACATGAAGTACTCTGGTATTGTGTTCGCGATTGTACTCATGAATACAACTGCATGTACTGCGCTAGGAGTCAATAGCAGTTTTCACTAGGGCTGGTCAATAGGGCTGGTCAATAATCTTTACTAGGGCTGATCAATAGGAATTTTCACTGGGCTGGTCACTTGCGTGTTCACTAGGGCTGATCAATAGGAATTTTCACTGGGCTGGTCACTTGCGTGGTCACTGGGGCTAGTCAACAGGAGTTTTCATTGTGATGGCCATTCGAGGCTGGTCATTAGGGCCGTGTTCGCAAGGACTGGACAATAGGCTGGTCACTAGGGCTGGTCAATAGGTGTTTTCACTGGGGTCTTCACAAGGACAAGTCAATACTACTTTTAACGGGGCTCGTCACTAGGGTGGTCACTAGGGCTGGTCAGTAGGAATTTTCACTAGGGTGGTTACGAGGGGTGTGCACTAGGGGTGGCCACTGGGGGAATTCTAACTACAGTAGATGCTCATAACACATTGATAACAAGGAATTACAGGGAACACCAGTACACTCACTGAGTTTGGTTTTACGCCGCTTTTAGCAATATTCCAGCAACATCACGGCGGGGGACACCAGAAATGGGCTTCACACATTTTACCCGGCGTGACGAGCCAACGCTTTAACCACTAGGCTACCCCACCGCCCCTGAACACCAGTACAACGTCATATTTAACGAGATTACCATTATTAGGAATACAAATTCTTCTCGGATTGCATGAGAACTCTAGATTATTCCATGGCATTCTAATTTCATAACAGCCACATGTATTCAGCATGAACAGCGTACCCTTGACAGGGGCGGCGGGGTAGCCTAGTGGTTAAAGCGTTCCCGTCACGCCGAAGACCCGGGTTCGACTCATGGGTATAATGTGTGGAGCCCATTTCTGGTGTCCCCCGTCGTGATTTTGCTGGAATATTGCTAAAAGCGGCGTGAAACCCAACTCACTCACTCACTCTTTACAAAGCTGCAATTATGTTAATACAATGTAATCCATATACAAAATATTGGAATTGTAAATTTTAAATACTGCAAGATGTTACATGATGTATACGATTACATGTTACAATGACACTGAGTGTGGAAATAACACAATAAGGGAACACTTACACGACACACACGTCCTTGTCGGAGACAATGAATTGTTATAAAGGACAACGATCACGCTAAGTTTCATCACCATGAACACCTGCAGTGTGGCGGCAATCAATGTTTAACCATTTACTCGTGTTTATAACAGGTAATAAGAAACCATGTTATGTCGCAGCCTCATCATTGATCCATCATATCAGCAGCCGCCATCCACGTGGGACAGGTTCGGAGCTGGTTGTTGATAGCGCTAACAGCGACACGAGGCACCATAGAATACAATCAAAGTCTCACATTGTCTCGTGTCAAGTCTCATTACTACTTACGACAGTTACGGGGCAGTAAGACCCGAATCTCACAGTGCTTAACCGTAACCAAACACACATTGACATAATAAGTGGTAATGGACGCTATGAAACGGAATTTATTTCAGTTGATATTCCGATAAATTTACATCACTAGCAACGCTGTGAGAGAGAGTGTTATTTCACGTGGCCTTCTACATTGCAAGCGTCCCGAATAAATGACGCTTTGGCGTCCCGAACGAACAACCCACCCCATCATGCTATGTAGTAATATTAATGAACTTTTAGGGACAAGGGGCTTCATAAGTTGATCCTTTCCGCAAACCCTTAAGATAAATAGAAAGCTGAATCGTTTATTACTGTAAACAGAAAGTCAAGACACCATCCTATCAAAAGAGGCTTGATACCTTGAACAAAGAAGTTGCATAAAGTTTGAGATTGTAACGATGAGACACAATATCATTTGAAGTGACTAAATAACATAATTTTGTGGAATGTAACTTAACTCACCTTATGTGTTTCAGGTAACTATATTCCATTTAGTGCATTGGTGGATCACAAGATACAGGAGGGTGAACGTCACGTTGCTCTGATACTTGACACGCGTTTCATAATGGCCAGGAGACTGGACAATGTAGGTGGAAAGGTTTTTACATTGCACTAGAAAGGTCAAGGGCGCCTGATGGCGACCTCTGGTTGTGGTTAAGCAGCGCCATGGATATATGTCCTAAACGATTTATTGACTTCTGGAAACAGTCGTAGCCAAGGCATGAGGTAACATCTGGATGCCTTGACAGCTTGTAGCCGTTAAATAACTAGCAGGCACTGAGAATGCTCATTAGCACTCTTACAGAAGTCGCTTTAATGTAGCGCAGCTTAATTCTTTTGAAGATGCGGATTATGGCCACGGATTAGCAGAAGATAGACCCCACTAAGAAGACACGCTGACAGCTACTGTTTCACGTGATTTAAAATAATGATCATTGTACATTTTGCCTATGTCGGTTAGGTAGTTATGTTTTATTCAGTGTTTGGTAGGTCATTAGGCTCTGTACATGTGAATACAAGAATACGTGATTCCTTAATATATTTGGCACGTCACAGGTGTATATTTCTGTTTGAAACCGCTGATCTTGGCTGAGCCACACATATCCGAAACTATGTTATAGCAATTGCACTGGTGAAATCCAAAACATTGTTATAACACTGTCACTATGAAATCCAAAACATTGTTGCAACAATTGCACTGGTGAAATCCAAAACATTGTCATAACATTGTCACTATGAAATCCAAAACATTGTTGTAACAATTGCACTGGTGAAATCCAAAACCATGTCATAACATTGTCACTATGAAATCCAAAACATTGTTGTAACAATTGCACTGGTGAAATCCAAAACCATGTCATAACATTGTCACTATGAAATCCAAAACACTGTTATAACTGCACTGGTGAAATCCAAAACATTGTTATAGCAATTGCACTGGAGAAATCCAAAACCATGTTATTAATATTGCACTGGTGAAATCCAAAACCATAAAATGAAGCATTAGTCTATTGCACAAGGTACTTCAATTGGTAATTTTATCAGTGCCCTAATAATTTTACATAATTCAAGATGTTTGGCTTTTGAGACATATAAGTGAGTGAGTGAAGTTTTACACCGTTTTTAGCAATATTCCAGCAATATGACATTGGGGGACACCAGAAATGGGCTTCACACATTGTACCCCTGTGGGGACTCGAACCCGGGACTTCAGCGTGACGAGCGAACGCTTTAACCACTAGGCTACCCCACCGCCCCAGAGACATATAAGAGATCTATGAGTGTCTGCTCATCCCTGCGTAGTTCTGACCGTAATTCGATTTACCAACCTTCCTCATTGAAACGACTTCATTTCATTGTACCACCTGTCAAATGGTGAAAGAGAAATCTTAAAAAACATAAATTACTACCGACAGGTGTGTTTCTGTAAAATTATTATATTACATTAGTAAAGCGCTTAATATCCAGCTCCGAGATGCCTGGGGGCTCAATATATCCATACAGAAGTTAAAAAGTGTGGCTGTAATCTACACCAACCTTGTCTTTATTATTCTGCTAAAACCGCGGTACCTGACACATATTTACCGACATCCACAATATATTCACAAAACTTTGAATGAAATTTGTCCAATAGAGGTCTATTTCCACAGTCCCAAAACTCGACACCAATCTTCTGCTTCACTTATCCTTGCTATCAAACAGGACGGCCGGGTAGCCTTGCAGTTAAAGCGTTCGCTCGTCACATCGAAAATCCTTGTTCGATTCCCCACATGGGTACAACACATGTGTGAAGCCCATTTCTGGTGTCCCCCACCGTCATGTTGCTGGAATATTGCTACAGCTCGTTCAGCTTGACCTGATCAAGTGAATACTAATGCATTGCGTGACCGTGTCACAACTGGTTGGGTCTATTATTGTGAAGGGGTGCACTGATTGCCAACATGTCCGAACAGTCGAGACAAGGTTGCCGTTTGACACCTCAGCGTCGACAAATCGTCAGCAGTTTCCTAACTTTCTTTAAAAAAGAAGCTTTATTGTTTCCGATTCGAGCTTTTAGGCAGCTAGCAGCCACATTAATAACATTCTTTGCTCCCCTATTTAATGAAGTTAACTCGACCTGCCGTTTGTGCCATTTGACCGGGTCATGCATATGTAGAGTAGCTCAGGTCAAGCTGAACATGCTGTATTACCGGCGTAAAACAATAATCACTGCTATCAAACAGCATAAAGTGTACATTTATAGGCAGGTGTACAGAAATTATTTTAAGATAGCATAAAGAGTACAATTATAGGCAGGTGTACAGAAATTAGCTTAAGCATCTGCATGCAATCTTGCCGTCAAAATGTTATCAGACATCAGAGCGAGACAAAATACAAATGAAGAAGAAGAAAATTGTAGCATCTCATTGCGGCCTCATCCCGTAGGTTTCATCTGCTTATAGGGCGGTGGGATAGCCAAGTGGTTAAAACGTTCGCTCGTCACGCCGCAGATCCGGGTTCAATTCCCCACATGGGTACAATGTGTGAAGCCCATTTGTGGTGTCCCCCGCCGTGATATTGGTGAAATATTGCTAAAAGCGTCGTAAAACTAAACTCACTCACTCATCTGCTTATAAACCATTTACGGCAGCTTCGATCTCTGTGTGAGTGAGTAAGAGAGTGACTGAGTTTAGCTTTACACCGCACTCAGCAATATTCCAGCTATATGGCGGCCATCTGTAAATAACGGTGTCTGCACCAGACAATCCAGTGATCAACGGCATGAGCATCGATCTGCGCAATTGGGAAGCGTTGACATGTGTCAACCAAGTCAGCGAGCCTGACCACCCGATCCCGTTAGTCGCGTCTTACGACAAGTATGGGTTACTGAAGATCAATATTCTATTCCGTGTGTGTCGCTTACATCGATTCAAAAGGAGAGTTATCGCCCCTCGCAACTAAAAGACCCCCCCATTTCTCTACGTTCTTCATCTAACATTATTCGGTAATTTATTCCTAAGGCCCTCTTTACCAACTTCAACTAGCATGAGAGCGAGAAGAAAAGAAAAAAAATAACAATATTTTTAAAAAAATATTTTCGCTACTTGTGTTACTTAATTTACGCTATATCAATTTCGACCACTTGGTACTAGTCTATAAATCTGTATATGATTAAGATCGCGTCGCTTGCTGAGGAATCATTATTTTATAGATATAATAAAGGATCAATTATTTTATGAGTGAGTTTAGTTTTACGCCGAACTCAGCAATATTCCAGCTATATGGCAACGGCCTGTAAATAATCGAGTCTGGACCAGACAATCCAGTGATCAACAGCATGAGCATCGATCTGCGCAATTGGGAACCGATGACATGTGTCAACCAAGTCAGTGAGCCTGACCACCCGATCCCGTTAGTCGCCTCTTACGACAAGTATGGGTTACTGAAGATCAATATTCCAATCCGGACCTTCACGGGTCAAGTATTTTATGAGTGTGCAAGAGTATGAGTACTGTTTTTAATCCTATCAGGGCATAAACTCGCCACATAGGCGTGGACTATAGAATGTGTTGTTTATTTTTGTTGGGTTGTTTTGTATTATTTGACGTAGGAATGAAACTTCATGGCGACTCAGAATAAAAACACACACAGTCGGGAGGTGATTAAAGAGGTGCAAACATTAAGATGAACCACACATCTGCGGAGTGCCTGTTACGGTGTCGATAGCCTGAATACGTCTCCTCTCGACAGCGGAAAACGCCGATAGCGTGTATTCCCATACCACCTACAGGTTAAAACAACACGATACGGTCCAGTGATCAGGAAGTGAAGTTAATGGGAATACTCTGACCCGATTAATGAAATCATTTCAGTTGTCAAACATTATATCTACAGATGCAGCATAAATGGTTTCAAACCAAAGTTAGAATATATAAAAAATGAAATTGTCCGTCACTATGACATGTCAAGATATGTTTACTTATCTGCTGGAACTGAACAATTGTTTTTTCAATATTGGTCAACATTACATCTATTACTTGGAAGATACTCCAGCCAATTATACTTTTTCAGCCAACTGTACATTTTCATACATGTATACATATACCATTGTATTATTAAGAAAGTTATCTATACATGTTTGCCTGTACATGAAATATGGAAAATAAAAAAAAAAATTAAAAAAAAGGAATACACTGATCTGACCTGTTCTACCCCTGCTAAAATGAACTCTACCAGTTAGTTGGTTAATCAAGTGACCTGTTCTACGGTGTCTTCCCACTCTGCCTACAGAAGTTAAAAAGAAGTGTTTGTTGATAAGACATCTTTATTCATTCTGAGAATTCTCAGTCTTTACATGGTGACATGGATGTATCATGAAAAATTGATAAGTTTTACAGTCTTTTACTGGTTTCACAATTACACACAACTGACAAGAATGTCCATTTCGTTGCCATGGACTCCGATATGTGAAATGTATTTGCATGATTATTTTTGTTTTGGTGGTATAGTATTCTTCTGTGTATGTTATTTATTATATCTGGTATTTTTGTTGTAGAGTATTTTTTTAGAGCCTGTATGTACTCTTTACCTATTTTATATTTTGTTAACCTTTTTTAATTCGGCATCCCATTCAAATTTCCCTTAATACTCAGTTGTTGGGAGTGTTTTTTTGTAGTAACACCAATCTTTCAAAATTTCTATTTTTCGTTCCCCTCATTCCTTAATAAGTGTACTACCCCGTCGCCGAAATACCTTAGTTGTGGGTGCCACATTAAATAAAGCAAATAACTACTACTACCTTACTCCAAACGACACATCCCTGCTTCATTGACAATTGGGCTGTTCCATTATTCTACAGGGCAAAAAATCATTTCCCACGCTGCCTACAATATTTTTGTTGGCAGTATGGTGCTACAGCAACTTAGAAGATGCAGTCGCACACAGAGAGCTATTATGAATTTATGATGCACCCACTTGGACAGAAACCTTCCAGTCAATATATCAATTGCAATTTCTCTTAAATTATTGCAATATATCGCAATATGAGAGTCAGGGCAATATCCAGCCCTAATATTAACCCGCAACAGAAACACAATATTTGCAAAATGTGATATATTATGACTTGGTGGCATTCTGTTGGCAAACAAATAACTTCGTTTCCCCAATCCTAACAAATA